GTAGCTCTATTTTTAATCCTTGGAAAGAAAAAAACAGGAGTTTGCCTTTAATGTAGAGTTAAACAACTCTGCATTACCAATGGCCCTGTCCTGCACAGCCCTGGGTGGCTGCAGGAGAACAGGCTGTGAGTTGTTTGCAGTGCTCCTGAACAAGAGCTGAGCATGTGGGAAGCAATTCTCACCACACCTAGTGATGAAAGGTTTGCTTCAATGTGAAATTTGGCTCTTTCACCTGAAACTTGAATCACTGTACATGTTATGGGGACACGTGTCTGAATTTAGAATGTTTCTGTTTGAGCTCAGATATGTGACTAAATATAGGTGAAGTCATTAAGGTTGCATTGTCCTCTGACACCAAGTCCAGTAGATTTATGTCCCATATTCCACAGCAATAGATTTTTGAAGTATCTGCACTGATGAGTAAAACCAATATCCTTTGTCTAGGAAGGAAAAAAGCCTTCAATCTACACTTGATAAAACATCATAGCCTAAAATTGATGCATTTCATCAAAATCACTTTTTACAACAATAGGGCAGTTTTTTACATTTTGGAAGACTGAAGCAACAGTGAATGATTCAGGAAGATTAGTTTGAACAATACTGGAAAAAAGGTTAATGACATGAAATTAATGCATTCACAGAAAGAGCTATGATTCTGCATAAATTTAGGAAAAAAAGGAAAATCCCTCTACTCCTTCTGTAATGCACTTAAAGGAATTTTCCTGTCCCATGGTTTGTTCTGCACAAGGAAAAAACCCCAAGCAACTTAGTGCAAATGTGTCTGATCTTCAGAACTTTCAAGGTGTTGAGGGAAAAGAAAACATGCAGTAATTAAAAGTAAATTTGCTTTCTCACTGAGTTATGTACAAACATCAACAAAGATAACATGAGAATTATAGATGTAATATTAATGAATGATAGTAGCCATTTCAAATATTTATATGCACATATGATCACATTTTGCAGATCTTGGTATATTACTGGAGATATTTTAATCATTCCACTAAATATCTTACTGCTTATTTTATGACAAAATATTCAATTCTTTCAAGTTTCCTACCGTATTTCCTAAGGAATGTGGACATCTTTTTGAGTACAGAGGGAAAAGAAAAGCTCATTTGTGTTCCTTGGTGCTGTTTCCTCCTTGAAAACCTAGAAGGGAAGTGCCCTGTTCTGTTTTCTGAAGGAAACATGATGGATGATCTGTCACAGGATACATGATAGCACAGGAAGCCAGTGTAACAGCAAAACCCCTCTCATGAATACATTTCTCTATTTTGGTAGATGAATGTCTGAAAGTTCAGCTTGCAGAGGTGCAGCTGTTTCTCCGCTGCAGTGAGCAGCAAAACCACTTCCCTCAGAGGAAGAGTTTTGAACTGCTGCTGCTGAAGGCAGGATTCAAAGCTAATTTATTAAACACACTTTTTGCATGAGGCTTAACAAAGAGTGCTGATAACCACACTGGCACTGAGCAGTAGCTGCCACTATTCTTAACTTGGGGGTTTTTGATTCAATTTCAATTCAAGTCAATGTGCATTTTCAGAAATATAACTCATGTCAAATAGTAGTTACACCACCTGAACCTCAAATTGCTCAAAGAGAAATTAATTCCTGATTTCCAGGTGCATTTGGTCACAAATGAATAAAAGACCATGAGTATTATACTGAATGAGTAAAATTATGCTTCTGATCCAGAGGAGGGCAATCTAGCCCTAAAAAAACCCCAACCCAAACCAGGCTGTAAAACTCCCATCAAAACAACAAACTAGAAGAGTTCCCTGCTCTCCTAAGGTTGGCTATTTTTGATTGACACACCAGCACACATTTACACAGCAAAGCATCTTTAGTTTTCCATAGTTCAGAGGAAAACAGCATTGTTACAAGCCACTCTTTTTATGGGAGAAAGAAAAAGTCAGTATCAGGAATTAAGTTTGCCACACTCTTCTTCATACTACAAAGAAACTTTAGTGTTTATTATTGTACCACTGAGATGTAACTGATTCAAACTGATACCAAAACCCACCGGCAGTGTTTTTGGAGGTGTTTTTTGAGCAACAACCCTGATGGTTGTTGGTAACCAGGTTACACTGTGCTTTGTATTTAATTGGTATTGTCTGTCAAATCTTTGTTATTAAAATCTCAGTTATTTTTAGAAAAATAAAAAATAGGGAAAAGCATAAGGGCAGTAAGAATGGTAAATGCATGAAATTATTACAAATTTGTTAATTCTCCATAAAATATTTTATTAGCTTGAAATGTACTGAATACCTTGTTGCTAAAACTGAATTTAAATTCAAATAGCTTTTAATTTCTTTTATTTTTCCTGTTCAGCTCTTGAATACTCACCCTACAGGTTATACTGAGGAAGAGTCTTTAATAAATATTTAAAAATTAGGATTTAGAGAACAACTTGCTTAAAAATGTAAAATGTGATGCTTGAACTAGTAAATCTATCCACGTATTTGCAATTACTTGTTTGACATTTGCAAGGGCTGAAACTAAGAATGCCTTCACAATGCCTCAGGATCCAAGGCTGATCCATTCCTCACCATGCCTGGTCTTGTCCCAAGAGATGAGGTAAGTCAAACAGGTTCTGAAACTTCAATTTTATAAGACAAAGGCCATTATACTGCAACCAGCAAGGGGAGAAATCTACTCACTGTGTATCTCACTGTGCAGCTGTGGATCTCAGTGAGCTGCCTGAGAGAAAGTAATGCCCAGTCCAAGTCACTCCAAAATCACTGTAGTAGGAATGGATATTGCTAAATATTTGCACTCTGTTCTGCCTGACACAACTGTGTATTCCCAGAAGCACAAGGAACACGGATCACTGTTCACCAATAGGTTTTAACCAGTAAAAATCCCAATACCTACAGGCCTCACTTTAGTGCTACTGAGGGAAAGTCCCTCAGTTATGTCTCACTGGACATCTGGAACTTTTGTTACTGTTAAGAACAGAGGAAGAAATGAGAAGTGCACTATCATGGTGCTTGCTGTTATAATGCTTCTGCTGAAGTGACCTGGGAAAGATAAACCTTTATTGGACTTACTCATAATGTGATGCAGGTTTTATTTTTCATATCCCAGTGGGCCTGTGATAATAGTTTACCACCTTCTGCTAAGATAACCATTTTTTCCCTTAGTTTGCAGATACTGGACCATGTGTGTCTTAGGTAGCTCACTCTTTTCAGGATATAAAAAAAACCCATTATTGATTCTCTCTTGAACATCTTGAGTTCTCCACAAGAGAACTGCATCGTTTAAATAAAAATACTCAGTACTGAGATTTACTTACAACTTTGTATATGTAGTAACCAAAATACCATTTGAAGAGAAATAAATTACAGAAATTGAAATGCATTGACCATGGTAATCTGTTTAATAAATTAAGACAAAATATTAAATATTTGTAAGAAATCAATACCAAAAAATCAAAATAATTTACTTTAAATTGTAATATAAAAAGATAGATTTGATTCAAATCTGTATTTATCCTTCTAAGTGAATCAGTATTTTGTCTTTGTTACGAGTATGAGCCATTACCTCAAGCCCCTGGTAAATTACAGTTCAGTTTCAAAGTTCTGAAACATCAAACAAATTTGAAACAGGAGTAATTTTGTAACAAAAGAACAGATTTTAAACAAATTTCATTCTTTACCTTAAATTAAACATCACAATACCTCTATCACATTCTAAGTCAGGTGTCTGCCTTAGTCAGAGATGAACAAAGCATGGAAAGCAACAAAGACTTTTTTGTAACAGCAAATGCAGTGAACAAACCCAGTGATCACACTCTCACGACTCTGTTTACAGGACAGCAAGCTTGTTATCCTGAATTTGGATTACAATGAGTTAGTGTACTGACTGTGAGCAACTGTATCAAGCAGTGAGCAATGGTGAGGGCAACCGTCCTGGTGGAGTCTCCAAAGCTTTGAAGAATCCCAACATAAAAAGAAAGGGCTCAGTTCTGCAAAGTGAGTATTTCTTCATCATGTTAGTACCCTCAAAAGGAAAAAAGTGCCTGTCCATTTGCAGCATTGCACTGCTGTCTAGTAAAACAACTCCCTCTAAATATTATTTTAATATATTATATTAACGAGATCTGAGCCTCAAATTGCTCAAAGAGAAATTAATTCCTGATTTCCAGGTGCATTGTAGCCTCTGAACAAATGTAACAGGACAAAGTCATGGAAAAAATGTTGCTTCTGTCTGAACATGTTTAATCCAGCAATATAAGTAACATAAATGTCATTAATATTTCCCTTTCTTCTGTGCTTGTTTGCCTGTGCACGTGACAAGGCCTTGTGCCATGGCTTTTACATGTGTGCAGGTTTACAATCTTTCCCACAGAGAAAACACACCAGGAAACTGTGGCAGTAACTGTGGGGGGTGTGCTGTGTGCTGGCACTGAAAAATACTTTTAACACAAATGTGGTCTACCTTAGAAAAGGCCACGAGAATTGTCTTTCTCAGTGAGTTATCTTAACGTGAATAAAACCTCCAATCATATGGACATTACTCAGCATCTTTCCAAATATTCCAGTCAGCTTCAGCTCTATGAATGGATAAATGCTTAAATGTGACCTAGGCAAGGCTGTAAAGACTGGACATGTGTTCCCTAGGGAGGGTTGATAAAATGCTGGCTACATCGAAAAAAGTACCTGCCCCAAGTTTAGACAAAATCCAACTAAGTAGTACAATGACTGATTTTTTTTTTTTACACCTACAAAGAATAAAAACAAAACATTCAGAAAGAAAATTATTGAGAACAAAAGTGATTTCTCTAATGAGCAGCATGGATTTTGGAGTTGCCAGGGTGTCTAAACTACTCCCCACCAAAGGTTAATGGCAGCTTACTGGGCTCCACCCCAGATCAGCAGCAGCGCAGCACAGACGGCAGAGCAGTGCTCCTCTCTCAGGGAAGCTTTGATTGCAATGTTTGCATTGAGGCTGTTTGGATTTGCCATGTCAGTACCAGCATAACCTTCCTCCTTCTTCCTCCTCCTCCCCCTCGGCACCGGGAAAAGCCGTGCTCATGAGTTGCCCTTTGCTGCCCTCTGCCCTCGCGGAGCCGCTTTCTCAGTGAAATGTGATTCTCTGCGCTTCCTGTGAGAGCCCCAGCAGCCGGAATCTCTCGGCTGGAGGAGTGGCAAAGTAGGTTTTCTGCTCCTCCGAGTACCTTTCCTTCACTTCAATGATGTCCCTGTAGCGGCCGTCCTGCCAGTGGAAATTGAACTGCTCGAGCAGCTCAATCCTCTTCTCCTCGGAGCTCACACAGTCCACAGGGGGGGGCTGCTCCAGGAACGGCACCTGGATGCCCGGGAAGAGCAGCAGAGCTCGGATAGCAAACCAGCCACCGTACTTGGGATGGATACAAACGCCAAAGATCTTCTGGAACAAAAAAAAAACATCCAGGCTGCCTTACTTTGTGTGTAATCAAGGCTAGAGTTCAAAGCATCCATCAGATGCTTCTCTCTCTCCCAACCTTCTCTTGGAGAGCTGTACAGAGCAGAAAGGAAAACTTTCCTGAGCGTGTGGCTCAAAGCATTGCATTTCAGTCCCGCTTTCCTGTGCCCACACACACTTCCCTGGAATGTGGAGAGAGGTTCCTTTCTGCAAATCTATTACAGAAATTAACCACAGAGCATTTCCCCCCCAGTTTGTAATGCTCTAAGCAACAGGTTTTCCTTTACACTGCCATTTATTCTTCTATCTAAGTAGGTTTAACAGATCAAGATATTTCTCTCCATGACATCTCCCTACTACCCTGAAGAATCTTGGAAGCTTCCAATTCCCACCTGAAACATTTTATGAACCTATATGTGCTCTGGACTTTGTAGCTTCCTGCAAGATGAACTAGTGACTAGTGAGCAAACAATCATTGTACAGTTCAATGTTTGCAGTCCAATGGTTCTTCCCAGACTGTGTTTCTGCCTCACCTTTTTCCCCCAAGGATCAAGCTTCACATCCTTCCTTTGGTAGTAATATGCAGCTCCAGCAACGTGGGCAGCTGTCTGTGCCAGGAACTTGGGCTTTCGGCTCGGCAGCAGCTCGTAATCAAACATGATATCCACCCTCTGGTCAGGGAATTTCTGGGAAAATATGAAAACATCAGCCCAGGCTCATGGAAAAAGCCTTGCCACTCCAGAACTGCTGGATGGCAGCAAATCAGGCACATGTGAAGCCTGCAGAGTCCCGCATCCTGCTGCTGAATTCTGTCAGCAGGTTGGAGGCTGTGGGCATTCAGCCTGTGCCTGCAGAGCTCCCTCACAGCTGTGAGATGTAATCCAGAGGCAGAACACGCAGGTAAAGCACCCAAAGCCTGCTAATGCTCCCTCCTTCAGGAATAATGCTTCACCCTCCCAAAGAGCAGGGCAGGAGCCTGCAGGGCTTTGTCTGCTGCTCAACCCACCTGGTTATGTGCCACAGCACTGCATGGAATGGGGATTTCAGCTTCTTACCTCCTTCACACGTGATAAATGATGGGAAACACACTGATCCACAGGATCCCTGATTATTTTTAACCGTTCTTTGCTCACAAAAGGCTTAAGGGCCTTGTCGAACATGGACGGCGTGCTGAGGACCACGAAGGCCAGCGTGTCATCTGGGTAGGGGAGGTGGAAGGCTGGCGGGAGAACAGCATTGTACCACCCAACCTTGGCAAAGAAACACAAATTTCCATTAGAACACAGACACCACTCTAGTGGACATGCAGGAATGTAAAAATGTGGAAATAACTGCAGCCCCCTTCATTTGCAACCCAGCTGGGCAACCTGCCCAGGGCCTTCCTTTCAAACCAAGTTGTTTTGCACACCAGGATTCACAGTTTGGGGAAGCTGTGCTGTGAGCTGTGAGATAAGAATCACACACAGCATTCAGCTCCAGTCTGCCCTTTATCCAGCTCTGCTCAGAAACCTAGAGGGAAGTATGAGCAATCAGTCTTGCCAATGCAAATCAGATTGGGTCAGATAAAGCTTTTATAGGTTTGATTTTTTTTCTCTCTTATCTTGTGCCAGAAAGAAACTGGTGGTTCTGTTTTGTGTGACAAGTTGAATGTTTTACTACTTCTGCAGGAAACACTTGTGTGGAATGAAGGATGTGAAGCTCTTGGCAGTGCTAAGCCCCCCCCAAAAACGTTTGTTATCAGCAGCACGAGGATTATGACACAGCCACATTTGGATATTTGATTCCAGGGCTGGACACAGTCCAGAAACGAGAGATCAAGCCAGGGCAGCAAGAAGCATGACCAGGACAGGGCTCAGAACTGCAACTGCCAAGTGCAGGAGGAAATGGCCAAACCCCCTGCACCCCACTCCTGATGCCCTGCACAGTAACATCAGTCTTTTCATAGGTTATGACAACTCCCTCCCTCCTGGGGTGCCACAAGGCCAGGTCTAACAGTCAGAGAGATGCTGAGCAATGGAACAGTAAGTTTGAAAATGAAATGTACTGGTTATTCTAAATAATCAGTGAAATTACTCTTGTGGTGACTCTGCAGCTGGCAATGGCAGCAAGACTGCCCATGAGGAAACTCAGAACAAAAATTAGATTCACTATGAAGTTTACATTCTGATATGAACCTCTAAGTTTAATCAGTTTTGGGGCTCTGAAGGTGCTGAATTGAGATGTTACAAGGAATTAGAGAGCTGTGAATCTAAGCTTTGCTGGTTTCCCAGTGAACATCAGTCAGTGCACCAGGGTTGGCTGTGGCAGAATGAAATCTGGAGAGAGCTAGAGGGCCAAAAGGTTTTCCCATCTCGTAGCTACAGTCTTTATCTGGGTTCTGCCCTGAATTCTGCTGATATGTTCTAGGCAAGCAGCACTGAGTTTTCCAAATTCTGGAGGCACTTATCTCATTACTTCTCTCACCACTTCATTGCCTTGTACTTTTTATGCAAACAAGATCACAGCAGGAAATAAAAATATTTCAGGTGACAGATACAACACTCCCCGAGGGAAGGGCACGTTTATTGCAGACTGATTTGTATTCGATGTTGCAGATTGATTTACCGCTGATTGTCCCGGGGCAGGTAAGGAAGGAGCCCCTGCATTTACAGCCGCACAGGGCACAGCGGCAGAGGCTGCAGGGGCCACGGGCAGAACAGAGGTCAGAGGAGCCATGGGGTGGTCAGCACTTCCACAGACAGGTGCTCCCACGCTCAGCTAAAATATAACCTTGCCCGGAGGACTTTGCCGCCTGCCGGGGCAGATGTGTCATTGCGAAACCCCGACCCCGCGGGTCAGGGGCCCGCACCGAGGGCCGGAGCAGCCGCTGCCGCTGCGGTCACCTTGCCCCGCGCTGCCGGGCGGGCCGGCCGGACCCCGCGCTGCGCATCGACCCGCGCCGGCCGCAGCGGCTCCGCGGGGGCGAGTCCGGCCCCGCTCGGCCGAGGGGCGCCCCGAGCTCCCCGGGGCACCGACCCCTGGCGCCCCCGGCCCCTGCGCGGCCCCGGGTCCCGCCCCGCGCTCCCTCAGCTCCCGCAGCTCGCGGGCAGTGACGTCGTGTCCGTGACGTCACGCTGACGTCATTACCTTTAAGGCGTGCGCCTCGAGGCCGAGCGGACCCAGCGTGCTGCGGAGTTGCTCCGCCACGCGCCGCTCCATGGCGGCGGCGGCGCCGCGCGGGGCATCACGGGAGCGGTAGTTCCGGCCCGGCGGGACCCCCGGCGCGCATCCCAGTGTCTCCTAGGAGACGGCGCGGCGCGCAAAGAACTGCGGGAGTTGTAGTGCGCGGTGTCTTCCCCTCCGCTCCGGCTCCCCCGGAGAGGACTCCGTGTCCCAGCATGCTCAGCCAGCGCAGTCCGGCCGGGTCGCCTCGCTGTTCCCGCCTTGTGCCCCGCCAGGGATTAGGCCTCTTTTCCTGGCCTCATGCTGTGTGGGAAAGCCCCACCTGTGCCTGTGAGAGGGTGCTGCTCGCTGAAACAGTGAGGCCTCTGTGCTGGCAATCCTCTCTCCTTCCCCTTCTGAAAGTACACGTTCTTTGCAGATTCTGTGTTGCTTACCACTTGCCACACTGGAGACTGAGCCTCAGATTTGGATCTCCTTACCCTAATCTTTATAGCTGCTTATCGCAAGCTTTATAGTATTAGTGCAATGCTCTCCAGCCTGTAGTCCTGGGTTTTAGGACGCCAAATGTCCAAGGTCTTGGGGACAGAACTACCGCAGATATTCAAATTTACTGCTTTGGGGAGTTTCCTTATATATTCTAGTACCCCGAGAGTTCCTCCTTATTATATCCATGCCTTCTCTACTGGGGGGGCAGATGGATCCTGTCAGTCATGTTTAGAATTACAGTTTATTGTTTCCAGATCTCCCTGTATTTCCAGCTTGTGAAGTTGCACTAGACCACTAACTATGTTCTTTCTTGGACTAAATTGTAAGTAATCCTCGTACAAAATCTATTTCTGCCCATATCATTGAATATCTCAGTCTGTGAATAGACTAAAACAGGAGAAAGAGCTCCAGCAGGAGCAGATCCATAAGCTATGAAGCAGTGAAAGTAAAGGCAGTGGAACTAAAGCACTGATAGCTGCAAGAGCCTCTTACACAGATCACTTCTTGTCTAGGTTTCTGAAGTCCTGCTGAAGAAAAAAGAAACTGAGTGTAGCCTGGCACAAGGTTGCTCCATCTCCCTGCTCAAGAAAGAGAAAGAGCTGGATATAAGGCAGAAATGCTTTGCATCTTAGATGCTGGAAGTAAGAGGGTTTTGCCTATGTTGGTATGTTATTTGTCCAGCTCCCTTCCTCTTCTCAGTTCTGAGATTTTTCTGAAGGGCTTAATGCTGTGCTTGATCAGAGGCTGCCTCTGGAAAACACTTGGAAGTAGTTGTCCCCTGTATTTCAGGTGAGGGGCCACAAAGCTCAGTCTAATAGAGCACAATCTTACAGTTTGTACACACCAGGAGGAGGGGACACCCCTTGAGGGAATTTGGGGGTGCCCAGGAGCGCTCACGCTGCAGGAGCCAGCGCAGCTCCCGGTGTCAGGCAGAGCAGCTGCCTGGGAGCTGCAGGAATGTGTCACAGGAGGGTGCTGCTGGCTGGCGGCTGCTCCGAGCTCTGCAGGACAGCTCGTGCTGTGCAAATCGCTGGATTGGCAAGCTCAGAGATGCTGGGGACTGATCTCTCATCCTGCTGTTGTCCTGTGGAGCACAGCTCATTTCCAGGTGTGGCTCCGGCTTTACTGATGCAGAAGGAAACAGATTTGCCAGCTCTGTGAGTGGGCTCTTCCCTTTCAATCCTGAACTGACAAGGCTTGAGGCAGGTTTGACTTCAGTGTGTGCCCTCTCCCGGAGCTGATCTTAAGCTAAGTGCAGGAAGGGTGTTCAGTCCTTCTGAGGCAGCTCATGAAGGGAAGGGCTGACAGCACTGGGACTGCCAGAGTTCATTTGGACCATGCTCTCAATTGCACAGGTGATTTTTGGGGTTGTCCTGTGCAGAGCCAGGAGTTGGACTTGACAATCCTTGTGGGTCCCTGTCACAGCATATGCCACAGTCAAAATGGCCACAATACACAGAATGTCACCATACTGCACCATACCCCATTAGAAGGCTTCACAGATTCTGCCATTTATTGCCCTTCAGTCCAGCCTTTTATTCCCCTCATTTAGTATGCCTTACACCTGTGTGCCCTCTGTACCCTGTGTGACTGGTCAGTAACCTCAGCCCTCCATATCTCATTGCCTTCAGTGCTGGTCACCTGTCCTGCACAGCTGTAGCCACAGGGGATGAGGCTCAGCTGCAGCCCCACTCCCAGTTACCACAAGCTGGGTGCCTACAGGTCCCTCCCAGGACAGGATATTCTGTGATCCTAAAGGCAGCCCCTTACTGAGATGTTTGTATCCTGAGGGTTGGCATCATCTGCTCGTTCCACGTGGGCTGGAGGATGGTACCTGCTGTTCCTTCACATCTGTCCTTGGAGCTGTTCCCTGAGCCACCTCATCATCTGCCTTGTTTAACCAGGAGTGTTACTATCTCCCACCCAGGCCCTCTGTCAGGGCAGTCTCCTTGTTGCTGTTTGGACAATACTTTACTTGCACTTAGCTGCAATGACTGAAATAATTGGTGAGTTTAAGACGAGGCGCTCATTTGAAATGCCTGAGCTCTAATCCCTTCCCAGTTTTCCCATCCCTCACATTCCTTTCTCCCCAGCTGGTGGGAACTGGCTTTGTTTGTGCCTCAAACCTCTGATAGCTTGGGCCTTGCTCTCCCCCACCCCCTCTACCAAGGCTCTGCCCTGCTCCCTGGAGAGAAATGAGTGACATCTCAGCTTCCTTGTTGAAGATCCTTGGATCTTTTTGGCTCTGTTTCATTGTCCCCTCTGCCCAACCCCAGCTGCCCTCAGACAGCTGCCAGATGTCTGAACTGTCACAGGTCTGGCTGAGAGTTCATGTCACTGCTTCCATTCTCTCCCCCCTGACAGCTTTGTGCTACAGCAAAACAGCATCCAGAGAATATGGCTCACTTCCCTGGGGGAAGGCAACCATGTGTCTGTGAGGTGTCTGTGTCTCAGGTATGGCTTTGTGGTTTGTTCTATTATTAGGAAAAACCACAACATTTTCATTCATCCCCCTCAGGCTAATGCTGCCATGCCGTGGCACACAGTGTGATTTGGTGTTATCATGAAGCATTCATACAAAAAGGATCATTAGATCTCATTGCTCTCCACAATAGTAAATGACAAAGACACAATGTTGTACTGATTGTAACAGAAGGGATTTTCCTTCTGCTTTCCATCCATAGCTCTTGAAACCTTTTCCTGACCCTGGCAAGGAACAATTGCTCTGCATTAGGTAGGAACCTAATGAGAGAGAGAGAGACTCACACAAATTGTTTGAACAGTCAGGACAATTTGGTAACTGAAATGGAGTCAAAGGACATCTTAATTCCTTGTCAGTTTTTCTGATCTTTCTAGCTCTTGACCACAAGCATATAAATGTCTATTTTTATTAGTAGGGAAGTATTGGTGAACACTGAGTCTGGAAGTAAATGTAGATTCATTATTAAGTTTTCTTTGATAAAAAACATTGTATCAGCTTGGTGAGATGGTTTCAATAATGCAACTTCATTGCAATTCTCCAGTAATTAAATATTGATTCCCTATTTCTTTCTATAAAAGCCTAATGCCTTCCCTTATTATGTCACCCTCCCACCTGTTAAGCTCTGATTTCATGAGACGTTGTCTGTGCTGTCAACATCAGCTTAAACTGTTCCAATCTCTCTGCATTTTCCTGCCCTGGCCTCACAGCACATTGCCTCCCAAATATCTGCCACAGCAGTTGTTGGTGTGCTGTAAATCTGATCAGGGAGCCGAGCTGGTTCTAACAAGTGCGTCATTGTTTGGGCTTTTTTGTTGGTTTTTTTTTTTTTTCCCCTGAAGTGGTGTGCTTCACAGTGCTGCTGCAGGAAAAAATTGTGCTGGCACATTTGAGAGAACAATGTGGTCAGGGCTAGGTGGGGAGGCAGAGGTTCTGCTGCCAGCCCATTCACCTCTGAAAACACAACTGAATTGCTCAGCAGAGCTGCCTTCTGCTGCATGAGGCACAGCTCATGGAAACCCCCCCAAAGTGGTGCCACCCCATCCTCACCCCAGTAACTGCTCCAGCAGGCATTGCCAAGTGTCAGGGACTGTCACTGCTATCCTTCAGTCTCTGATCTGAAAGATCAAGTGCGAAGTCTCTTCTGGAAGGATGTAACATCCATGGCACCTGCAGGGAAAGAAGAGATCACAGGAATGGTTTTACACTTACTCCAACGTTACTAACAGTCTGGGATGTGCTTTCCAGCCTGTGATTTAGAGATCTCGTGGTAAGGTCAGGTGTCCTGTTGTCCCTTTCCAGCACAAACTGACCCCTCTATGGGAAGGGTTCGGCATTGTGGCTGTGACTCAGAGCAGAAATGAGGTGGCTGATTGATTCCTCGTGGTTTAAACCTGAACAATGTGGAGCTGGCTGGAGTTATTGGTGCCACAGAGAGGTGAATTCCAATGTCTGAACATTTTTGCCAATATGTTCTCCTGCCTGTCATGGAACCTGTTTTTTGCTGCCTTGTCCTACTGCTTGTAGCCATGTAAGAATAAGAAAACGCTATTAAATTGGAATAACTGCAGTTTCTCTAAGTGTCACAAAAGGTAGGCAAAGGATGCTTAGACTCAGCAAGTCTATCCTTGAAATTTTAGCCTAATCTTCTGGGTTTTTTTCATTTCTTTTAGAGAGAAGCAAGAACTTGCTGAGATAGGCAATGTGGTTCTCTCCATCTTTGGCTGAGGTTCCTACCCCAGACACTTCAGCTCCAAGGATCTTTCCAGTGCCATGGAGATGGAGGTGCCTGCAGGTAAGTGTGGCTGGATCCTGCACCCTCAGCATCTTAAGAACCTGGAAGGGTTTTCTGCTGTGCTGTGGATGACAAAGCTCTGCTGCTCAGGGCATTCCAGATGTCATACAGATGAGAGGCTCCTGCTGGGCCCAGTTTTACTGGTAGGGCTGAATATCAGGTGCCTAAAGGCAGGAAGATGGCACAGTTTGGAGTAGTGGCCTAGCACTCAGGCCAGATTTCAAACTTAGTTCTGAGAGCAGCATTGCTATGCCAAGACAGAGGTAACATGTGTGTGCCTGTCTGT